TCTTGGAAGATACAACCTCATAACAGATGATGGTGGGTGGTGCATTCTGTGTGTAGTCAGGACTCGTCCATCTAAGTCATCCAATTCTGTTTGAGACCACCTTGTAACACCAAAAGTATATAGAAGGCTAGGTATTACCCAGGAGTTATATGCTCTAATTTTGTTTCCGCCGGATAAATGACTTTTGATAACTTTTTTTTAATCTTGACATAAATTTTACTTTTGAATTTTCTTTAATATTTTTGTCATTAATTCCTAGTGCTTCTGCCATGCCATTATAGGTTTCTGTTTCAAAAAGAGAACTGAAGTGTAAGTCATTTGTAATTGTAAATTTATTACAATCTTTAATTTTGCCCCTATTAACGTTGATGACAGCACATTTATCTATTCCAAATTCCATTCTAATATGATTGTTGAAACTATGTGTTAATTTCAACAATAATAGTAGATTACTCTCTTTTGATGTGAATAGTTTGAGATCATCCTAATAAAGTAGATGTGAGATCGGATTCTTTTCGAAACCGAAACCCTAATCCGGATTCCTCAATAGCAGTGCTTAAAGGATTCAGGGCTAAACAAAACAAAGTTGGGCTCAAACTATCTCCCTGGAATATACCCCGTTTAATATTTATAGAGTCTATCGAACTACTTTGCCACTCACTTGGTAGATTTAGGATAGTGTTCCACTGATCCATTAATTTACTTAAAAACTTACAAATTTTGTCATCTATTTTATATATTTGTAAAACTATCTTTAGCCATGAATGTGGAACAGAGTCATATGCCTTTTTGTAATCCACTCAAGCAGCGAACATATTTTTGCGATTACTATAGACTTGTCGGCAAATAGCAGTGTCAATGAGAAGAAGTTCTTTACAACCACGTGACCCTTTCCGACATCCGTTCTGTACCGTTGAAAGAATGTTATTATTTTCCAAATGTTTATAGATCTTGTTATTCAAAATTGCAGTTATTAATTTATATACAGTTGAAAGGCATGTTATAGGTCGGTAATTTTTAGGTTCAGTGGTCTTTCCATTTTTATATAGTAAGTGGGTAATACCAGTTGTAAGAAGTCTCGGGAGATCACAACACTCAATGGCTTCTTGAATCTGTGCAGCCAAACGCACGTGGCTACTTGTTATTCATTTCAGCCAAAAGTTGTGTATACCATCTGGTCCAGGTGATTTCCAATTGTGTAATCTACGAGTAATTGAGTGTACATCTTCAGCAGTAATTGAAATAGAATCCATGTTAGCCAAATTAGAATACTTACGTTCGGTTGCACGAATCCATTCGCCTTCATTATGAGAAACTTCGTTAGACCACATACTTTTTCAAAAATTTAGACATTCATTTAAGCTTGGACTGCCATGAGTACAACTATTAGTTGTAGTGTTCTCCCAAGACCGATACACCCTCTTTTGGTTACTTTCGAATGTGCGATTCTGGAAGTACCGTTTAGATATTTCTGAATATCGTCTAATATGGTTGGCCCATGCTTTTAACTTTTGTTTTTGTGTATCAATTAATTCAGTAATTTTATCCGGAAAATGGGGATCTGATTGGCTAATATCATTTTCATTAGCGATTTTATTTACTAAAGTAATTATTTTTTTACGTCTGTTACCTGTTTGGTAGCTTATTAATTTTCCTATAATTTTGCGAGTATTGTCAATTCGTTTTTGAATTCTTTGTTTCCATTTAGGTTCTGTATTATTTTTCTTAAAATTTTGTACTGAAATGACAGGAATTTTCATTATCATACATATAGCATGGGCACAACAGTATAGAAGAGACATGGTTTCCAAAATAGAGTTACTTTTTTCAAAATAATCTTTACATAGAATATTCATTAATGCTACTGTTAAAATAGGATTTTTTGTTGTTAGGAAGTTAAGGTAGTTTCGGTCTATTTTCTATAGGTGTATTTTTATATTCCAGAAGGGAACATTCGAAAGTCCTTTTCATATATTCGCTGTCTTTGGAACTCACATCTATATCAAAACTATTTTGCTCTACTTTTTCTTTTAGTAATATTTATATTATGGTTACTGATATTTACATTTAAGTCATCAGTCTCACCTGGAAGTGTTCGTTGGGAATCAGGAATTGAATTGATAGTAGATGTTGAGTACTCACTGCAAAGTTGTTCAATTAATCTGTCGTCCAAAATCTTACGACTTAGAATGACACGTACTTGATCTGAAAGTCTTTGGGCAGTTAAGTTAGTCCTTTGGTAGCCTTATAGTACGCGCGCATAACACTTATATTTAATTCTTTAGTCCAGCGCATGCGTCGTCGCACTACACCATCAGTAGCGGGGTTCTCATGTAGGATGGTAATTCCTGCAGGTCCCAAGCCAGCCGCTGGCGCTCTTCGTCCCCTCAAAGATGGTACGGGGGTTCTTCTTGTGCCTCTTGGATTACATTCCATGGATGTGTAGTCCTCCGTAGGCGATGTTACGTGTGCGATTGTGGTATTGGCGGTATTTATTCGTATTTGTCGTCTCGTTCGATGCATAATGTAAATTTAAATTAAATATTTTATAAATCTGTTTGTAAAATTTCTTAGATGACATTAATTTGAAGAATACATTTTCCTTGAAATTAGTTTCTTATCCACAGAAATTCAAAGTTTTATTTATATTGATATTGTAAAATCTATTTGCGTTGAGAATTTGTTATTTGGGAATTTAAAACATATGCTACAAAAATTCATTTTTAAGATTTTGTACTGACTGCATCATTTACTTTTGACAATTTTATTATTATTATTAATGTGGGGTATCTATATAGTTTTCTCATCTGGTTGGGATGTATAAATATATAATTATAAATGAAAATGAAAAAATAAATATACATAAATATCAATAAAATAAAATAAATATAAAAGTACATAAATAAATACAAGCCCAACCAGATGGAGGCCCTCGGCAGGGGAGACCAAACGGCCGAGGGTTAGGGGGAAAGGGAAAGAAACCGGCGGACGATGCGGGCGGTATCAAGGAGCACCGCCTTCTGCATTTGAACTCAGAGCGGTCCGCCACGGAGTCCCAGCCGCCTCAGATGACCCGAGAGGCTGACTGGGATTAGCCCATTCGCAGAGACGACTACAGGAATAATTTCGGTCGGCAGACCACCCCACATGTCGGTCACCTCGTGAGCCAGGTCCAGATACTTTGATTGCTTATCTGTTTCGGCTTTCACGAGGTTCTCGTCATACGGGATGGTAATATCGACCAAAAATATCCTTGACTGTGCCCGGTCCATCAGCACAATATCAGGCTTATTCGCAAGAATAGTCCTGTCTGTGATGATGGCCCGGTCCCAATAGAGCCTGGCGCGATCATTTTCGAGCACGGCTTCCGGCAAGTACTTGTAATACGGCACTTTCCGGTCCACGAGACCGTATTTCAGAGCGAGCTCCTGGTGTAGAATTCTGGCTACTAGGTTGTGCCTGTGCAAGTACTCAGAGTTAGAAAGCGCCGAACAACCGGAGATGACATGCCTAAGTGACTCACCGGGATGGCGACAAGCTCGACAGACGTCGACGGTGCCATCCTTTAGGATGTATCTCCGATAGTTGTTGGTCTTAATAACCTGATCCTGTATTGCACAGACAAAACCCTCGGTTTCCCCGAAAAGGTCACCAAAACGTAGCCAGTTGAGGGAGGCGACTGTATCTACGAAAGGCTCATGTAGAGCCTTGTAGAACCTCCCGTGGAGCTCCTTCTCCTTCCATACGGTCTCCCGGTCGGGAATGCTATGCACTGCCGGGTCTTGCCATTGCTCGTTGGCTAAGGATAGAGGGGTAAGCCCTTTATCACAAGAAATGACGTCAATATAGAATGGATCATCCGATCTCGCCAGGAAGTAATGACGGAGACTGCACACTTCGCGATTATGCATGGTGAGCGCGCTCAGAAAGCCACGACCACCATGCTTCCGCGGCAAGTACAGCCTCATTACCGACGATCTCGGATGATGCATCCTATGGGACGTCATGGTAGTGCAGACTTTTCTATCCAGGGCGTTAAGCTCAGTCTGAGTCCACCTGAGTATGCCAAAGGTATACATGAGGACAGGCATGACCCAGCCATTATATGCGTGTGCCTTATTCACACCGGACAAAAGGCTGTTAAGCACTTTGGTCAAGCGTGCATAAAACACGTCGCAAACTGACTGTTTCATACCAGCCTCATCGATACCGATGTTCTGTGACATACCCAGGTATCGGTATGTTTCAGCCTCGGAAAGGGTCCTTAAGTTGACGGGCATAGACAAGTCTACGCCCTCAGAGTTAGCAACCCTTCCCCTTTCAACATGGAGGACCGCACACTTATCCGTCCCAAGCTCCATTCCAATGGAACTGCTAAATTCACAAGTGATGTTTAACAGTTTCATAAGATGGGAGCGACTGGAGGCAAATAACTTGAGGTCATCCATATAGAAAAAGGTGGGTCACTTTTGTCCCTCCTCTCCGTAGCTGAAATCCCCTCCCGGAGCCCTCCAGTAAGGTACTGAGAGGGTTCAGAGAGAGGCAGAACCAGATTGGACTCAGACAATCGCCCTGGAAGATACCCCTTCTTATCCTTATGTGGTTCTCCGCAGCCATCATCCGTTCGCCCAGATGACAAAGGATCGTACTCCACTGCCCCATACACTGCTCAAGGAAGTCTCTAACTGTACATTCTATCTTGTACAGCTCGAGAACTCTCCTTAGCCATGTATGGGGCACCGAGTCGAATGCCTTTCTGTAGTCTATCCAGGCGGCGGAGAACTTCCGACGGTTGCGTTTCACCACTTTGCCAATGACCGCGTCAATGAGGAGTGGTTCCTTGGTTCCACGACCACCGCCCCGACATCCATTTTGAGCGCGCGACATCACCTGATTTGAGTCCAGGTGACAAGTGATTCTCGCGCTCAAAATGGATGTTAGTGTCTTGTATATGGTCGGTAGACACGTGATGGGGCGGTATTTGCTCGGGTCTGTGGTACCCTGGTCTTTAGGAACCAAATGAGTGATCCCAGTAGTGAAGAGGCTTGGGAGCGACTTCTGATTGAGAGCCTCTTGAAACTGTCGGGCAAGCACAGAGTGACACACCGTGAACCCCTTCAGCCAGTAGTGATGCAGCCCGTCAAGCCCCGGACTTTTCCAGTTCGGGGCCCTACGGACCGCCTCAGCTACGTCATCCGGCGTTATGATGACGGGGTCCATGGGCGTAATACCCGCACACTGACTCGCCACAACTTCCGTCCAAGGGCCCTCGCTGTGGTTTACGGGCTCTGACCACAGGCCGCGCCAGAATGCTACAGTGTCGGCCTGATTCGGTGCTGGACCCGTTCCACTTACCATTGGTCGCTCCAATGATTCATAGAGCCTTTTCTGATCACTCTGGAAGAGACGATTCTGGTTGAACCGTGTCGACCTCTTGGTATATCGCCGAATCCGTTTTCCCCAAGCAGCGATTCTCTGCTTCAGATCATCTATGCTCTCCGTCAGTTTTTGCGTTATATCCGGCTGGGACAAACTGACATTTGTCCCAGCAAACGCCATCCTGACGGTGCGCACAATTCTTGGCCTGTTGTTGCCTGATCTGAAGCATATCAGTCTGCCGATGAGAGCTCTAGCCTTTGCGATACGTTCCTCAATTCTTCTTCTCCATACTGGGATAGCGCTACTATGGCCAGTAGCGCGTCCAGCCGTGGAAACCTTGGCGCCTATGATACGGCAGACTGCCAGCGCGGCGCCAAAAAGAATTGAGTCCGTCTCGCAAAGGTCCCGGCTGGCTTCCAAATAGGTCACCAGCATTGGGTTCAGAGCCCTCACGACAGCCCGATTCCGCTAGCTTAGGGCTATGCGGGGAAGTCGCGGTCGATTTTCGAGAGGCGTACTGCGCGTTTCCACAATCGCCTCTTCCAATGTACTCCTCATATGCTCTAATTCCAGTTCCTGGGCGACTGTTCCATCATCGTTTGAATCAACCACAACTGGGGTATTCACGGCGGCATCCACGTTTGCGGGTTGCTCTACCATTTGTGGCGCCGCATCCTCAGCCGTAGCATTCTCATCCGACGAGGGAACAGCCTCACGTCGTAGCCGTTCGAGTTCGGCGACATCAAATATATTTGAGCGCAAGATATACCGAACTCGGTCTGCCAGATTTTGCTCTGTGACGGTTAAAGATGGCTCCAGCTCAGCAAAAAGACGATGCATCCTAGCCCGATACGCCAAACATCCAGTTTCTCCCCCTTTCGCCCCAAAATACGCCCGCAATGCGTTGCTGTTCATCTGGGTTGTCCAACGCATGCGGCGTACTCCACCAGAGGCGGGTGCCGATTGCTGGGCCCGCGAAGACCCTGCCGACACCAAGCCAGCTGGTGGGAATGATGGATGCGAGGGGCTGCTGGGTGGTCGTGCAGCACCTCGCGCTCGGCTGGCGGTTCGCATGCTGCCGCGTCCAGCGCCAGCTCCAGACGCGCCCTGGCGACCTCCAGGCAGCGGCCCTTTGCGCGTTTTTCCGTATTCCATCATCCATAGTGGTGGGCGTCATTTAGCGGGAGACGCCCAGACCCGGCGCCGTTTCATGGTGAGGCCATGTGCACAAGCGGGCCTTTGCACCTTCAATTTTTGCCGAGGCACGGCACTAACACCTCTTGGCAAGGTGCTGACTGACTGCGCTGACGTAGCGGTTTTGTCACATAACCGTTACGTCAGCGGGCGATGGGGTCGTCACTTCCCTACGCCTTATTATTATTATTATTATTACTTATTATTATTATATTAAGACATATGTTGACACAACTAAATATGTAGTACGTTTTATGATTAAAAAAGTACAGGGTATTTCTTAACAACATTTTGAAAAATTTATTTGAAAGTAAAAAATATCTTTCGTTAAATTTGATCTGCCTCTTCATAACTTATTCTGTTTCATGAGTGGAAATCCTGCAATTTGCTGTAATCAAAATCAATTTTCACTCCAAGAAATTGAATCGCTTCCAACAAATCAGCATAAACGATATTATTCTATTGAATTTAATGGTGTTATATCCTTAAAAAACCACGAAGAAGTGTTTTTTATTTAACTTTTGTTCGTTTACAGTGGGTAGGAATATCCTATAAATAAAAGGGAAAATAAATAACATAAAATTAATTAGATATATTTAAAAACTTTACTCACGTTTTCTGTTCTATGTTGATATTCTTATTTGCACATACATTCATTTCATCAAAAGTCTTTTGCTTAGACCTCTTCCATAGATTGTCTCATAGGAGGGATTTCTCCTTAGTTGCTATGCTTGATAGACGGGTAGACGACCGTAGTATTTTATTACCTTATTTATCAAGAAGATGCTGCTTCCCATCCTTTTAAAATATTCGGATATAAATTCGCGATTGCGAATAATCAATATTCAAATGTTTGGCTTTTGAATTGCTCATTTCAATATTTGAATTACTTACTTACTAAAAATAATTTCTATTTAACAATAATCAAATAGCTGATTAATAATACACTCATTTTAATAACCAAATGACCATTACTAATTAGTGATGATAAAATATTTTTTTTTATATATAAAATTGGAATAACACATGATTTTACAGTCCATCTTACGGCAAATTTCTACTTTTACTCTAAGAACAAGTGTCAACTTCAAACAAAGAAAGCTACCGATGCGTAATCACCTCTGAGGAATGAGGTGTATTGCCTCTCAGTCTACAATTGTAAAGAAGGCACTTATTACCTAAAGTGACTATTGACAAGAAGGGTACCTACTACCAGCTAGTAAATTTTACCATCAACTGGCCTAATCATTTTGATATACTTACAGTATCTATAAATTAAGTTGAGTTGTTTTCAGTTTTTTTTTTAATATATTTAGTATTAGTAGTTTGAAATGTAACAATTTTTTAATGGAGAAAGAAAGTCGAAAATATCAACACCAATTTGTTATTTCAAATTCGTTCTCTTTTAAATATTTAAATTATTATCTTTAGATTATAAAGTTATTAATTGGTTTGTAGTTCACTTCATTTCGATTTTACACTTTTTGAAAGAAAAATCTATCTATGTCATGAAGTTTTGGTCTCATCGTCCCGCGTAAGAAATATCTATGATATTTTATTACCCCAAGCTAATTTCATTAGACCGTGTAATTGCTTATTGAACACTTAATTTAATTTTTATTAAATTCAATTCACCATTTTTGTTTTTGAAAATACTGTCAAAGTGGACTTGCAAATTACCCTTTAACATTAACTTCTGTAAATATTAGAATTTAGTTGTGCTCTCAGAAGAAACTTTCATTCCCTTACAGCCATTCCAATTATTCAATCCATCTTTTATTTTGCCCTTCTGAAGATATAAAATTTATTCTGCTTACATTTTTCCTTCCCACTACGTAGTTTAATGAAAAATCTCCAGAGTAACCTATTTCTGCCTATTACAGATCTATCTCATGAGATTGCCACATTTATGAAAATATTATTCTTTTGGGACAATCAAGGGAGTGTATGTAGAAAAAAATTCAGCAAACGTGTCAATTATAAAATAACATAACATAAACAATCACGGCTATCACCCAGAGGGGTATGCAGAGACTACAGATTTTCATTTCGCACAATTCTGTCACCTCTTGCCTTCTTAACATCGGTATATCCACACATACATGCACGTCGGTTAGGAGTACTCTAAATTTGAATAATTTGCTCAATAAACTTCTGCCTACGTATCTTAAAGGGAGATAGGATACTCCTTGCCAACTGTGTCGTTCACTTCTGCAAAATACATTTGTGTTGTCACTTTTTTCTCATTCATTCTTCGTACATGACAAACCTCCAAAGTACTCCTTACTTACAACATATTATGCTTTTCCTAGTCACAACATCGTCTTACAAACTACACTTTCCTCTTTTTAAACAATTTCTTCCCCTCTCTTTCATAGAGCAATATTCTTTAAAGTCCGCATTTCTTCATCATATTTATTCATTACAGCTCGTCAAACTGCTGAACATAATATTCCCCTACAGATTGTCTCTTAAGGGAGATATTTTATATAGTGGCACGTTTGGCAGGTGGATAGCAACAGCATTTCATTGTTATTATTATCAAGAAGATGCTCTTTCATATATCCCGTTGTTATTTATCTCTGTCGACTTCCATAACAGCACATACAAGGTAATATTTGTCCTTACGCCACCACTAAACGGGCAACGAATATAAAGTTAACGATTTAATAGTAAAACCTAGTCATATTAACAATATTAATTCCACTAATTTAACTAATAGTGCGTAAATTTTTCAATGCATGTCCTTTCCAGTGACTCTAGATAGTTAAAATATATACATACAACAACACGCTGTACATTTCGTGGTCCTGCCTGCGATACATGCCACGCGTAAATATTTCAGGTTAGTACGAGGACAATTACATTTTTAGTACGACGTGCCTTTGAGTTGCGTGAATAAAATTTAAAAATGCATGTTGCTCTACAAGTCAGTTTTTCGAACGTGTACTCGTCCATATTTCGTTGTCGTCTTCTGTTTCCAAATTATTTTATAAGTAACAAAACGAGAGAGTGAATAGAGACGAAATTTACTGTAGAGAAAACAATATTTTTTAAAGCCGGAAATTTCATCTGGACTATGCTTCTCGCTTTTTTGAAAAGACTTAGAAAACTTACTAATAAAGATGTTCTTTTAATTCAATAAAACATATTTTTTGATTTAAAGTTCGACCACTGGTCAAGAGTCACACTATTATTTATCACTCATCATCATCATTATAGCCCTTCACAAGTGCACTGCTGAACATAGCCCCCCAAGGAATTTCTTGTGTGTCATCCATCAATTTACTGCTTATGGTAAGAACCAGGGCATTATTCCGTTTAGTTAGTGGCCGCCCTTCATTTCGCTGAGTGGGTCGTGATTTTGGTACGAGGTTGCCACACGAGAACCTTTTTTTCCGATGAGATATCTTATACCTTTAACGCTATTTGTCATCACTGGCTATTTTTACGTAAATGAGATTGTTATACTATCATTTAGTGGAAGGCGTAAGATCTTTTTCTTAGATTTACTGTTATATCCCACAGTCGATTACAGATTACTGATATTAAAACTTACATTCAAAACCATCGTAAGGATTATGTTTATAATAGAAACTTACTCATCATTCCTGTCCCATCTAATATCCGAAATCCAATGATATTTAATAAGAATAATTTAATAAGCCTTAGCGAAATAATGAAAAAGCGTATTCCCCTTTTAAGTAACATTATTCCGGACCACGATTCTCCAATTAAACATTACCTCTATCTTGGAGGTTAAATTTTACGTTACAATAAAGAGAAATTTACTAAAGTTATTGCTGTTTTGAATTTTTTTATATAATATTATATTATAGGGATTGAACAAATTTTAGTTTAATTTTATTTGTTTATTTACTCCCCTCCTTGAGCCGTAGTAGTATTTTCTTTGGTACATTGTAAATTTGACAGTACAATATCAGCCCGGGGTCAATCCTCACCCGGCATCAATGAAATTGTTAATTGCAATTTTATGTGTTGGTTTGGTGAAGAAAAATATCGTGAGCAAACCGGCATCTCCGCAAAATTTTAAAAAAATATTTCGAAGAAATTTAAAGTCCGCGAATACGCAATGGGACAGCGCAGTGGCCTGTGCCCAGCTGTGGGGCGTATATAGGCTGTAACTTTTTTTAGCTTTTATGTAACTTCCTAGCTTGTCACTTCATCTAGTGCGGGGCTTACTCTGCTTACCAGTGCAAGGCTGTCACTCAAGAACCTTT